GTTACCCTTCAGGTCTGAAATTGAACTCACTCCTGTGGCTTCCAGCCAAACAAAAGACAGGCACATGGGTGAACATTTACATCAGGTAGCAAACTGCTTAGGTCAATCGCGGGAGCTCAAAAGGGCAGTTTGCACAGGGAGACAGCTCAGGGGGCAGGAGTGCATAGGAAAGAAGGACACAGGGAAGAGGTAACTACGGGAGAAAGTGGGAAGAGACCTGTTACATTGTGGGCACTGCAGTCAATGTCATGAAACAAAATGTGTGTGAACTGCTGTATGGAAAATGAATTTGCTCTGTCAACTTCCACCCAAATCACAATAAAAAAAATTTTAACAACAACAAAAAAAAACTCCTGTGATACACAGATGCCACGACCTGGCTTGCTGAAAGTGAGGATGACTTGAAGCACTTAATGATGAAGATCAGACTGCAGCCTTCAGTGTGGATTACACCTCAACATCAAGAAGACGAAAGTCCTCACAACTGGACTAATAAGTAGCGTCATGATAAATGGAGAAAAGATTGAAGCTGTCAGGGATTTCATTTTATTTGCATCCACAGTCAACACCCGTGGAAGCGGCAGTCAGGAAATCAGACGATATATTGCACTGGGCAAATCTGCTGCCGAAGACCTCTTTCAAATACTAAAGACCAAAGATGTCACTTTGAAGACTAAGGGGCACCTGCCTCACGCCATGGTATTTTCAATCACCTCATATGCGTGTGAGAGCTGGACAATGAATAAGGAAAACCAAAGAAGAGTTGACACATTTGAGTTGTGGTGTTGATGAATACTGAAAGAACCATGGCATATGTGTATATACGTGTGTATGTTTACACATATGTATGTGTGTATATGTATGTGTGTATGTATACATATGTATGTGTGTATATGTACACATGTACGTGTATAGGTGTAGTATATACAGTGAAGCCTATGAGATCTGGAACTCAACTGAGCTGCCTAGTTATCCAGGTCTCACCAGTTTTCCACCTTGACAGAGGGCAGTCTTACCACTTTTCTGTCTCGTTTAGTGGAAAATAATTTCAGTTTTCCTTCTCTGACAGGCCTCACCTTACAAAGATTACAGCTTTCTCTGGTTTAAATATATACGGAGCCCTGATGGTGCAATGATTAAGTGCTTGGCTGCTAACCAAAAGGCCAATAGTTTGAATCCGCCCAGGCTCTGTGGGAGGAAGGCCAAACCATCTGCTCCCAGAAAGGTTAAAAAAACTCACTGACGCTGAGTTGGATCTGACTCATAGCGACCCGTCCTTGGGTTTCTGAGGCAGTACACTACGTGCCCAACCTTCCTTCTGAGGGGTGGCTGGTAGGTTTGAACTGCCAGTCTTCTGGTTAGTAGTGAAATGCCTTGGGCAACGTATGGAGCTGTTGCACTCTGTCACATGGGGTCGCTATGAATTGGAATCAACTCAACAGTCCCTCACAACAACATACATGGAATGTGTTTCCCAGACTCTCTTGCAGCAAGAGTCCTGATGAAAATCTGCGGGGTGGGGTGGGGTGGGGGTGGAGGAAGCCTGTCAGCATGTCCAAGCTGAGTGGCCAGGAGACATGTCTGATGACTCTTTTTTCCAAGGAATTTTGCAGTCACAGGCAGTAAAGAGCTGGAGAGGTGTAGGGAAGGAGGCGTGGCAGGGTTTTCAATTATTGTTAGTATTTATTTTTAAAGAAAGAATGCATTACAATAGGTTGGAGCCCGTGGGAAGGGAAGGAGAGAACCTTCAGCAGTGAGCAGACAGTTGCAGAAGTCGCGTCGCGAGCGGGGCGGAGTCCAGCACACAGAGGGCGCTGTGCCGGCGCTGCGGACACAGCCGGGTCTTTAGGAGAGGAAGGGCGGGGCTCCGACGGGAGGCGCCTGGCGCAGAGCGCAATGTGGGCGCTTGCAGCGGCTGGGGGGCTGCGCGGGCCGACCCAGCAGTCAGGAGCGCAGGAGAGGGATCGTCCGCGCGCTTGGGGACAGCTCTCCAACAGCTCCCGCATGGGTGGTGGGATGCGAGCCGGCCCGCGGGCGGGGGGCCCCTGATGGTCACTGCCGTGGCTCGTCCTGGGACTTTGGACGGGCGACCCCGGTGACCTTGGGAAGGTGCGCGCCGCCGGGGACTGGCAGCCGGGGCCTCCCTGCGGGGGAATCCCGTGCACACCTCTGGAGGGCGCGCGGACACCGTCTGCTCCTGGCATGCGCTCACCCACCCCACTCCCAAACCGCACCCGCGCGGGTCTTGCAGCCCCCGGGGCCCGGGCTTGGCTCATGCCTCAGCCTGACCTCGTTGGGACAGGCCCGAGGTCTGGAAGGGGCGTCCCCAGAACACGCCCGGAGCGCGAGGGCCAGCCCAGCCCTCCAGCGCCCAGGGCGGCCAGACCGTTGGCCGCCTGAGCTAAACGTATACCTGGACGTCGTCGGGGAGTGGAGGGAGACCCTGGCGCGGAACGCTTGAAGGTGTCGGGCCAATGAGAGAGAAGTCCACTAAGGGGCTGGGCTGCCCAAGGGTTGGGAGTGGCAGAAGCCGGCCCAGCTTGGATGTGAGGAGCCACCAGTGCGTCTTTTAAAGGGGGGCATGGTGGGAGAGGGCCACACTCTCATTAGCTTAGAAAGGTGGCCCCAGTGTCTGGTAGAATACCCAGGCCACAGCTCGGAATGAATTGTCCCTCCCCTCCCCCGGCACTGCCAATGGAAAGCAGATTCCAGGATGGCCAGTGGTGTTCCTGGGAGGTGCCAATAAATGGTTCATGTCCTAGGTTGCTATCGGAAGGTTAAAGGTTGGCGACACCTAGGAGGACAGCATGGCAATCTACGTCCAAAAAAAAAAAATCACCCAATGACAACCCTATGGAGCCTTGTTCTGCTTTGACACACACGGGACGTCATGCGTTTGGCAGCTAGGGTTCAGTACAGACAAGAGGAAGTAGAGGTGCCAGCCCAGCAAGACCTTGGGAGCGCCAGATTGGAGTTGCCCCCCCACACACACACACCTCACACACATACACACACCCAGGCTTGGCTTGGGGCATGGCAGGGGCAGAGTCCTGAGCAAGGAGCCTGGAAGTGGCCCTCACCCTGCAACCCCAGGGGTGTCTAGCCAGCCTGGTTCCTGGTGAGTCCATGGCCCCAGGGAAGACACACTCAGCACCTTGCTTCTCAGCACTCAGTCTGTGTCGATCTTGCTTGTTTTTTAATTAAAAGTACCAAGAATATTTAGAGAACCGACACCACAACACCAGACACCACGCAAGCTGCAAGCTCTGTCGGTTAATGTATGAATCCTGGCAGGTTGATTCTTCCAGTTCTTAATTTCCATCCCCTCAGAAATAACAAACGCTTTGTATTTCAAGCCTCTCCTGTAAGGTTGCGAATGCAGAGGTTGTTGCTCTGGGCCCTGGCTCGGTGCCAGGCTGCAGACAAGTGCCTGGATTTCCCAGCGGCTGCGTCTCGGCTGGTGCTGACTCACCACACAGCTTGGATGCAGCCTCTCCATGTGCCAGGGCCCTGCCCAGCTTCCGGGTCTGACTGTGTATGGCCAGTCCAGGGTTGACTGACTTGTACCTAACGCATTGTCCCCTCTGTACCTGTTCCTGCCCCAAAGCCCTCAGCTTGGTGCCCTGCCTGCAGTGAGTCCTCAGCTATGTGTAGCGGGTGGCGGTGTTACTCTCATTCGTTACTAGCATACTGGGCACATCGGTGCCGCTGCTTGTTTTATTTCCCAGAAGGTTGTTTAGAACAACTCTGGCCCATCTCACGAGGGTGGCCTGAGGGCTGAAGGAGGGCAGAGGATAAGGTCTCACTGTGTACCTTGTTCTGTAAGCTTAAGAGGAGAGCCAGGTGGGTAGTCTCTGTGTCCTCCCCTCCCCTAAGAGCTCAGCACTGGGTGAACCAGCAAGGAGAGAGCATTTTGTATGTTTCACAGTTTTCCAAAGATGCCATAGGGACATCAGAGCATCTCATCCCTATTCCACCAACCAGGCCTCAGCTCTCTGACTGCACACTCGGATACAGCCAATCACCTTTGGCTTCTCATCTGCTGGATCTAAGGAACAAGTTGGGAGTTGGAACTTCAAAGGCCAATTCCTGCTGCTCAAAACTGTCATCTCTAATGACAAACGTGGGTAGCAGGGATTCTCACCCTTAAGTGGTCTCAGTGTTGGGAAGGAAGGCGAGGCAGGTCAGAGCCAGCCCGGGAAGGGCAGTATTAGCAGGCCGGCATCTAGTCCTGGACCCATAGACCCCCAGACCAAGGCGCAGAATGACAGGACCACCCCAGGTCTCCCTCTTAGTCCTCACAGCATCCTTATGGAGGATTTTTGGTCAGTAGGAGCCAAGGCCCGTCACAGACCCCATCCCACCTTTCAGGTGTCATCTTACCTTACATTGCCTCAGCTGTCAGTACTCCAGCCACAACCTTCACCCCTTTGCTTGCTTCCTCTGTTTCCGGCCTAGTAATATGACTGTCCTGACATATCCTTCATCTCCTCCCCATCTGAAGAATGTCTTCGCTTCCCCTGTGTCTATCTACTGAAGAATTTACAATACATTTATATTCAATGTCTGTATTTATTCATTCATGTAGTCATTCATTCATTCAAGGTTAAGTGCTTAGAACAATGCTGGGCACAAGCTGATATTTATGTCTTGTGCTGTTAGCTTCGCTGCGGCCGCAGCAGTCAGCAAGACCTCCCGCAGTTACCCTGGCGGTCTTCAGGCACTGGGTGCGGAGACTGCCCGGCCGCCCCCCAGCGCGAGGACTACAAGTCCCAGTAGGCCGCACGGCGGCGTTGCCGGAGCGCGCGTGCGCGACGTGTTGACGCAAGGCCGCGAGCAAGCTCCGGTGGCTGCGGCTGGCGGGCTGGGCGGAGCCGGCGGCTGCCTTTAGGGTGGAGCCCGCGCCGCGCCCTCAGTCAGCCGCTGGTAGCGGACGGCGCGGCTTCCTGCGGCCGTTTCTCTCCCTGTCTCGCGGAGTCTCGGCCCCCGCGAGCGGCACCATGTCGGAGCCCGGTGGCGGCGGCGGCGGCGGCGGCGAGGACAGCTCGGCCGGCCTGGAGGTGTCGGCCGTGCAGAATGTGGCCGACGTGTCGGTGCTGCAGAAGCACCTACGCAAGCTGGTGCCGCTGCTGCTGGAGGACGGCGGCGAGGCGCCGGCCGCGCTCGAGGCGGCGCTGGAGGAGAAGAGCGCCCTGGAGCACATGCGGAAGTTCCTGTCCGACCCTCAGGTCCACACGGTGCTGGTGGAGCGCTCCACCCTCAAAGGTGCCCAGCTGGGGCGGGGCGGCCGGGCCGCAGCCAGCCCGGGAAGGGTCCGCGCGGAGCCCAGGGCTGGCGGGTCTCTCAGGGCCTCAGACAGCCCCAGGCAGGGCCCCCCCACGGCCGCAGAGACCCCGGAGGGCAGGGCCGGCTAGGTCTGCACGGCGGCAGACAGCCCCAGACACGGTCCCCCCCGGCCGCAGAGACCCCGGGGAGGGTCCCCGCGGAGGGCACGGCCGCCCTCGCCACACCCCCTGGCCAGGCAGGGGCGCCAGAGCGTGTGCCCGCCGGGGCCGCAAGGAGAGGTGAGGGTGCCCCTCTCTTGCCGTCACTGCACACAATGGGACGTCTTTGTCTGCTCGGGCCTCTCAAGATGGCCGAGCGGGGTGGAGACAGCGTCTCCCGGCTGAGTGCGGGCGGAGGCCGCATCCCTGCCTCCCATGTCACATGAGCTTTCCGGTTTCGATTTGTGCCCGAGCCAGGCCCGCCTGGAGAGCGATGTGCCGTGGCCAGCGGGATCCCCACCCCGAAGGGGGCTCGGGCGCCTGCAGGGCGTCCCCGGGAGATGCCCACTCCGAGGTCTCCCTCTGGGTCCTCACAGCCTCCTTGGTGATGGCTGTGTCTTTCCGTTTTCACCTTGGCCTTCAGTGACTTGCACAGGGTCCCTAGACTAGGTTGATCACCGCCACTTCAGTCCGTTGCATATTTTCCTCAGCAGACCTGGTATTTGTGCAATTTACGCAGTCCCAGTGACCACTGTGATATCCTAGTCTGATTTTACAGAGAAATAAAAAGTAACAGCCGAAAACAAAGAGGTTAGACACCTAGCGGAGCGGGCAGGAGGGTTTGCACCTTCCAGGTGTGTGGGCTCCGGGGACAGCCCTGGTGACCCTGGGAGCCTGGAGCTTGCCCGCAGGGAGGGTTTGGGGTTGATGGGTTAAGACCTCTTTGTGCTCTTCGTAGTGAGCATGTTTGATGAGGGTCCATGGGTGTGGCACCTGGGGACTGGGCCCGGGCCTGGCTGTGCCCTGGGAAATGGTAATGCTGGCATGGGAGGGATTGATAATGGTCCGGAAATATTTACCAGCAGTCTGCTTACAGTCTCCAAAAACTGCATGGTTGTGTCGTCATCCGTAGGATAACCCATACCAGAGACCCGGCGTCTGCCTTGTATTGCTTTCTGGTTGTTTCTTTCAAAGGTTTCTGTTGCTGGAAAGATGCTTCATTGTAACCTTGGTTCTAGGGGAGGCAGGAGAGACAGAGGTGCCCCGCGGAATAGTCCAGACAGTTAAGGCATTCCAGTGTGCTTAGGGTGTTAACGTTTGGGGTTATGGTTTCTACATGGAAACCACAAGTTTTGTTTTTTTAACATTTAACCCATGCACTCGTTTTTCAAAAAGAGGATGCAGGTAGACATTGTAGAAAATGTGAAGTACACACACAAATAAAATTTAAATTACCTGGAATCCTTCCACCCAGCTGTAACCACTGTCAGCAGTTTGTTATATGTCTTTCTGGTCAATTCTCAATGCATGTATATTGCTTTATTACATATATATATATATATATATATATATATATATATATATATATATGCAATGCTTTCTTACAAAATGTTTTGATCCCCTCTCTAAGTTACTGTGTTTTGAATAATTTTACCTTGGTTAATTCTTGATTGTTGTTATTGCACAATTTATATACTGAAATCTGAGTTCTTCCTTGAGGCGCAATTTGTTTTTATGGGTAAAAATTGCAAGTTTTGTTCTTTGTTTCTAGAGTGTTCCTCAGTTATTTACTTTTTTTTTTCCCAAAACAACTTAGAATCACACATTGCTAAAATTATTTTTTTGCGGCGAGAGGAGAACCTAATTTCTGTGGTATCCTTTCTAGCACAGAGATCTCTGTGGGCTCTTTTTGGATACATTTTCTCCCTTTTCAGTAAAATAGATACCCAGACGCCCAAATCCTGGCTCCACAGTGACTTGCAGTTTTGAGAGTTGGCTGAGGAATGAGATCATCTAAAATTGAAATCCTACCTCATTCCTGTATTTATAGAAATTTCTGGAGTATTTTTAGTAATTTAACCTGTTTTTAATCTTTTCTTACTTATGACAATCTAAGGAGAGGTGTGGACATTAATTTGATGCTAATTTCGGCATCAGGCAGCACTAGCACAGTTTAGATACACTGAGTGCAGGCCCAGGAAACCCGTGGGATGGCTGTCCCCTGCGTGATTTTATGCATTAGTGTTGGTATTTGTACATTTAAACGAATATGAGCATCTAGTGGTTAAACGCAGTGAAGAGGTGAGCTTGCATTAAGGTGGAATACAAATCTAATTTGTTTAAATTGAATGAAGACCATCACCACCGATGAAGTCATGTAACTGTTGAATGAACAGGGTAAATCGCTTTTTTTTTTAGGCCCCTTTTATCCTGTGGAAAGAATGTCCCAAATATTTGGAACTGAATAGAGAAGCGTTTTTTACATGAAGTCAAATAAGACAAAACAAAACAACCCAACCTCCCTGCCATCCAGTTGATGCCAAGTCATAGCAACTCCCATTGGGTTTCCAAGGGTATAAATGGTTACAGAAGCAGACTGCCCCATCTTTCTTCCTCAGAGCAGCTAGTGGGTTCAAAACACCCACCTTTTGGTCAGCAGTCATATGCCTTAACTACTACACCACCAGAGGTCCTTTGAAGTCATACAGACTTTTATTAAGCTACTCCAGTTAACTCTATGTTTGGTTTTTTTTTTTGTCATTAAAATATGGCATTCCTGTAGTGCAAGACAAAGGTTGTGACTTTAACAGGTTATTCTGACAGTGAGGAATTGGAGACTCAGCAGGAAAGGGAATGTTGAGTTTGTAGCCCCTGGAAAGGAGTCACCCTTCAGCACTGTCTGGCCTGTGGGAACAATCTGTTCTGCGCAGTCCACTTAGGAGCTGTGAGCAGAGGGTCTGTCTGTGCCCTGGGAGCCAGGCCCTCGCCGTGGTCACGGCGCTGTTGGTGGTCGGTTTAGCCTGTGAGGGGTCAGGGCTGTGACACGAGTATTCCAGGGTGCCGCTGGAACAGGTGAAGAGGAGCAGATAACCGTGCTTCAGCTGCCAGCCCCTGGAACTGGCAGCCCGTTCCTTGGGGACCAGCCAGAGATGGGGCGCTTGCTGGGCCGAATTGGTTTAACTCACACACGTCTTGCTTGACCCAGCCGTATGTTCAGAATTTTGTCTCTAAGACCAAAAACAGTGATTCCCTTAGTCCCTACTAACTTGAAGCTTGGAATGAAAGATTTTCTTAAGAGAGGTGATTTGGAAGGGTCCCTCCCTCTTCCTGAGCGCGGGTGATGAGTAAGGGCTGGCTGTGGGCTGAATAAAGCCCACCACCTGGAGATCTAGTTGTGCAGGGATGTTTTGGGGGGGGTTTTAAACCAGTGTTTTCTGAGGATTTAATGTAGTGGAATGATGCCTGACGAGCTGGTGTTTGTTTCTACTTGGCTTGGCGCCGGAGGTTAATGGCGAGGTAAGCGGGCTGGGGGCTGCATCCTCAGCATTGTAGCATGTCAGCAGGGCAGCAGGAGAGAGTCCAGCCTCTGCCTCTCCCACGGGAGGAAACTGAAGCCCCCGGAATTTGAGACCCAGACGGGAAGAGGGTTTCGAACCCTAAAACTAACCGCTCTGCAATTCCTTGGTATCCTTTAAATGGGGGTTTTGTTTTCATCTATTTCTTATGGATTATGTTGTTTGAATTAGTCTTAGCCTTAACAAGTGCTCAGTCTTAAGTCCTTGGGAATTAATAACATCCTAGTTTTTCCCAACTCCTTATTTCTCACCCTCTGGAAACAGCAGGATGGACCCCCGTTTCCATTCCACACAAGTATTCCAGGTGCCACGCTCCCCTGTTCCTAGCAATGCGACAAGTCTCAGGGTGAAGAGGAAGTGCAGGCGTCCTCGCCTGTCCCCAGCCTTACGCAGAGCAGGGGTGGGGTGGCAGGCAAGTACGGGTCCTGGAGGATGAAAGGCTGAACACCTAGGTGACACCACAGAGGGGACGGGAGAGAGCGTATGATGGCGGTTGGCCCTGTGAGTCGGTCTTGGCGTGTTGTGGAGCTTGTAAGGGAAAGAATGTGAAAGAGAAAAAGAACCAAGAGACGTGGAACAAGTAATTTTGGAAGTGTGTGTGGCCCAAAGGAAATGCGTGGCTTCAGGTGTGGCTGGACCAGCCTCGTGTGGCTGGGGGAGAGCGGAACGGGCTGTGGTGCCAGATCCCTGGGCTCTGCCCCTGTTGTCCATGGCCTCTCGTCAGAGTTTGTGAAACTGTGGACTACTTAAAGGGACCATTAGGAATTGGAGTGTCGTTCTGAAGGAACCCTGGTGGCACAATGGGTCAGCGCGCTTGGCTGCTAACTGAGAGGTCAGCTGTTGGAACCCACCAGCCGCTCCTTGGGGAGAGACTTGGTGACCTACTGCGTGAAGCTTAAAGCCTGGGGAACCCTACAGGGCATGTCTCCGCTGTCCCACTGGGTCCCTGTGGGTGGGTGAACACCAGTGTAATTCTTCAGGTAATTGAACTTAGAGCATTTTTATGTTTCATCAAATATGGCATGGGCTCTCCTTGTTCACAGTGTAGGGATAGAAATCGCTAGTGGATCGAAACACCTTAGCCTTTCAGTCTGTGTCGGGAGAAGGTCAGCCAGGATGCTCCTTAGAAGCGAGGATGGTCAGACTTCCTCTTGGCAACTTCGGACATGTTCTCAGGAGGGCCTGGTCCCTGGAGAAGGACGCCGTGCTTGGTGAAGCAGAGGGTCAGTGCACAGGAGAAGCCCTCAGCGAGGTGGACTCACGCAGTGGCTGCGAGGAAGGGCCCAGGCGTAGCAAGGATGGTGAGGCTGGAGCAGACCGGGCAGGGCTTTGTTCTGTTATGCACAGGGTCGCTGTGAGTCGGAACCCTTCGTGATACCGAGTGACAGGATGGCTACAACAGGAGCTCAAGAAACAGCCCAGTATGTGGGGGGGCCGGGGCTGCCTTGATCCCTTGGACATACTCACCGTTAGTGCAGTACCGTCCACCGGCCGTTCACTGGTGACTGTCCAGCGTCGGGGCCCGACTCAGACTTTGCTGAGAGTGCCTGGCCTGATGCAGCATGCACCTGGTGCTTGCGTGTTCACTCCCAGCGTAACGGGATAATCGCTTCCTGTTACAGGGGAACAACCAAGAGGACCTCCTTCTGAACAATTTTTAAAAGCGTTTCTGCAGAGGTGGAGTGTCCAACAGTTGTTATTTTGAAAATGTCATAATTCACAAAGAGGAGAAAGGATTATGAAATAATGGCATAGGTTCTTACACTATAAATGGGAGTCAGACAGAATTTGCTTGATCTGTGATTGTCCAGGGAGAACCCGTCAACAGCCAATCCGACTTGTGTTCTGTGATGGATTGGTAACGACTTCCATAAGTCAGTGTCATCAAGAGGAGCAGGGACAGGGACTGGGGACGTGGTTGCATTGTCTGTGGCTTGGGATTATGTCATTGGGCGTGGCTCTGCCTTCCTGGCGGAGCGAGCTGCACTTTACTGCATTGCAGTGTTCCTGGGAGGAGGCCACAGAGCCATGACGCATCGCCTGGCACGGTGTCTGGTTGCTTTAACCCGTTTGCATCAGGAAGTGCCCACCACGTGGTTACTGCCTCCTGGCAGCATATTCCCCGGGGGTTGGTTTGTATAGATGGTAGCTCTGGGTCTGGGGGAAGAAAGGATGCAGAGCTCACATAGCCCCTTTGTAGTTCTGTCAGAAGTGATGGCCCCCGTGACTAAGGAATGCGACTTTATTTCCCGTGTATCATTTGCGTGCTACTTGATGGCATGTATGCTTTATGTGAATCATGAAACAGTATTGCAGAAAGTTCAGAAAATTTTGGGGAAAAACACTTCCTAATCCCACACCCGGGAGCTCTGGTAACATAGTGCCTAAGGCACTTGACTGCTCACCAGAAGGCTGGCGGTTCAAACCACCAGCCACTCCTTGGAAGGAAGGTTGGGCAATCCTACTTCCGTAGTGATACTGCCTTGGAAACCCAAGGAGGGGTCGCTATGAGTCCCCGACTGGAGGGCAAACAACAACAACAACAATCCCACACCCTGATAACGATTTTAATTTGGAGTGTTTCCTGTAGTCTTTGTCTATGTGTTGGCACTTTGCAGTTGGCAGTCAAATTGTGTTATCTCGAGTATCTACATTTGAATGGTTAGAAAAAGCAATTGCTCAGTGTATTGTTGTTTAAATAGCCATTTTGTAAAGACAGCTGGAGAGACCTGGCACACTTGAACGGTGGCTCCTCCTCTCCTTCCTGAAATTAATTGAAAGCAGTCTTCCGAAGATTTACTTTTTTCTGGAGAGATGCACTAGCATTTATACTCTTCTAGTGTGAGTTTTTGTCTCATCTTACAACGAACGAAACAGACAGCTTTTGCTTAGATGCTGTACAGAAACCATACAGGCCACCTCGTTCAGTATCCCGCCACCTCCGCTGTCCATTTTATGTGTCAAGAATTTGAAGCCCAGAGGAAGGACAGTGGCTCACTTAGCTTGTAAGTGACAGGATTGGACCCCAGATCTGTGATTGTGAAATTTATTGCCCTTTCTGTTAACATCCAGACTTAAAGTGAAGGCCAACGTCATGAAAGAAGCATATTTCATTAGTCCTTGGGTTGTGGTTTTTGCTCACAGGACCTTTCATTCAGTCCATCATAGCATGGATAATGTGCTCAGTGTGTTTAGCAGTTAGTAGATCGATGCTGGAGGCAGACGTTTGGGTTATTGTCCATTCTTACAAATGTTGTATTTTAACTTTTCTTCCCCCCTTCACCCAGATTACTGTATATCTCTACCCTCTAGTTAGTGGTTTACCCTCCCTTCCCCACTCACCTCTGGTAACCATCAAAGAATATTTCTTTTTCACATGCCCATCAACAGAAGAATGGATAACCAAACTGGTA